TATTAAAACCTTATAATTACAATCAGACTATGCCACATAACCTTATCATCTTTCAAAAGTCAAAGATGAACAAAATATTTCATCCTTTACTATTTTATCCATGCAACTTTTCAAAAATTACAATCTTGCCACTTTAATACAACGATCCAAATTGAACATGGAAATAAATTCTCAAATGTAAAGGTTTATAATATTTTCCATCATTTTAAAATGTGGAAATAACATTTTAAGCTTGATTTATCATCCTTCAAATTTTCCCAAAATTTATATTTGATCTGATTTACCAAATTTTATCAGACTTTAACCCTTTCTAGTTTTTAACATAGTTTCCGGATCAAAAATCTGATTTCTCTAAAATCCCATTCTCAAGATTAAACTATAAATTTATGGAATACAAATTATTTTTGGGAAAATTACCACTTAGGTCCTGGAATTTTTCCAAAATTTTATACTTAGGCCACTAAATTTTCAAAACTTACATTTTGGTCACTAACCAAAATGTGGGGTATTACAACAAAAATATTTTTAAACTATGTTAGATAAACTTGAATTAAAAATTGATATTTAAATTACAAAAAATTATAAAATCGATTATCTCGTCTGTCATCTTATCAATCAACAATCTACGATCACACAGAGTTATTGGTAGGTGGGCTTGAGTTAGTGTAACCATCCACCTATCATTCATAAAATAAAATAAAATTATTTGTAAAATCCTAAAAACATATAATAATTTTAATTTATAAACATAGTTTAGTTTTAATTACCTTCGAAGTAGTGAAAATTCAAATGGGGTCGCTTAAGCATGAATCAATTGTAAAAATGACATTCGAAACCAAGCCCACAATTGTAACAACATCAAACAACCTCCAATTACTTATTTGGCCGGATCAACAACTTTACATAGCTCTCGGAACAAAAAGGCCAACACTGTCGATCCTCAACTCTTAGATTTAGGCTCCCGCAAAACGCGTAGATGATACAACCACATCATATGCACTATGTTTCAGGATTTATCAGGCATCGAAATCCCCCAATAACTTGTAAAATATGAGCACAAGTAAATCGCTGCAAAATAAAACTAATAAATTAAAAATTATTCAAAATTAATAAATTTTAAAATTTATTTATTATAAATTTTAATAACAAGTTGAACCATAACCCAAAGGCCATACCGGTAATAGTCGTTCCGTCAACAGGAAGCCCAAGATGGAATACAACATCTTCAAGGGTAATAGTAACCTTCCCACAAGGAAAATGAAACTTAAGAATCTCCAGTCTCCACCGTTCTAGTAATGTCTTTATCAATGGAAGATGCAACTTCGTACCACCAATTATAGTGCTAACATAATTAAAACCGACTTCGTGCAAATATGGAAGAATATCGGCATGAGGGCTCGGGAAACGATTGATATAACACGTCAAAGCACGTTCATACCCCTTCAAATAAATAAATAAATAAATTTTCCGAAATAAATAAATAAATCACTAATTTATTCAAAATAAATGAATAAGTAAATAAATAAATGATTCGAAATAAATAAATAATTCAAAATAAAAACAATAAATAAAAATTACCTTCGGATTTTTTGGCCAATAATCGAACATGTGGCTTCGATCAAGCCTCAATAATATTGCCATAATAACCGTATTTGAATAGATAAGAGAGAAAATATGATAGAGATTTTTTGGAAGGAGTGAAGAATTCGTTTTTGGATGTCCCTATTTATAGTCGTCATCGCACCCCCGAAACAAGGTAAAATGTACCTCGCATGTATACAACGCGAGGTTTAGGAATCTACTTAAATTTCAAATTTACCGTTTTTCACTCGCGATAAATTTCTCGTGATTGTTCGATATCTCGGATAACTCGTGTTTTATGTACCGCGAGGTCATTAAATGTAATATTAAATTGTTTTCTTTAAAAAATGTGTCCACAATATTAAATTATATTTTTAAAAAAATATGTCCACGTCGAACATACCTCGTGCCTGGTACGTATCGAGACTCTTACTTGTATTTCATAGGACTCGAGGTAATCTTATATGAGCAGGATTGGGGTATTTTTCTAACAAAACTAACCAGAGGTATTGTTAAAAGGAAATTAATAATGGGTTTATATATATATATATATATATAAATAATAACGCGGCCTCACAGTGCAAAATCCATCGTCAATCTCTTGCTTCTTATCTTTTTCCACGACTTTGTTGTCATAATCTTTCCTCTTTGTCTGCCCGGCCTTGGTTGAAGACACATTGTCAGGGAGCATGGCAACAACACTCAGCCTACTCAAATCCCCCATTTTACCTCAAAAGCCAAACCATCCACAATCCAAATTCTCAATCCTTTGGAACCCCTCAAACCAAATTATCCGCAACGAGTCCATTAACCCTCCAAAGCTCTTCACCGAAACACTTCATCACCTGAAATCAGCTTCTCTTCCCCTTACAACCGTCGCATTGCCCTTGTTCTTCGACACACAGGTGAAACTGCAATCCCCTTCGTTTTGTTAATGTCATTTGATGTGAATGAATAACAGGATGCTATTGCTGTTAATGGAGAGTTTGGGATTATGGAGGGAAGAAGCGTTGCACTTATACACCCCATTGTCATGGGTGGTCTGTTCTTTTACACTTTGTGGGTTGGCTACTTGGGTTGCGTGTCAGGACCATCCAGAATGACATTAGTGAGCTCAAGAAACAAGTGAAGCCAGCTGCTGTTACGCCAGAAGGGAAACCAGTGGAAGCACCTCCATCTCCAGTCGAACTCGAAATTCAGAAGCTCACCGAGGTTTGCTTCATTGCACCAAAACTTTTATCTACTTTACAATAAATTATATGCTAATTGGATCATTAGTCTTACTGAACTGGATCTCTAGTGTTCCTAGATTGAGGTTATATGTACTAATTCGAGAATCGCTAGGAAGATAGCTATGTCTACTAACACAGCTCGAGCAATCTTGTTTGTTAGACCTTGTTTTTGTTTTTCTTGTTTTAGTCTAACAATTAACTCAACGAGGTAATAAACCATCTAACCTAAAAGGAGTAAAACTGTTTGGCAATAAGTAGACATGCTCAACCTGAATACAAGGTAAAACTTTAATAATATGGGATATCTCTACATTACATAAATAACAAATTTCTTCTGGAGATCACGTGTCGTAGCCAAGCCTTATATGCCCTGAAACTATCTGATCATTTTTGATCTTTCAGGAGAGGAAAGAGCTGGTGAAAGGGTCTTACAGTGATAGACAATGCTGGATCGATACTGCTAGGGTTTGGGGTTCTTGAATCTGTTGGTGGAGGTAGCAGCACATGGTTTAGAACCTGAAACTGTTCCCAGGTCCCTATTTGTTTGCTGGAGCAGGTACACCTTTTGTTCGAATTTCTATTTCACAAAATGTGTAAACAAGATTAGGAAGTCAAAATTAATATAGCCGACCTCAATATTTGAAGTGTGTTGGAAATGACTTCACCTTGCTGTCTTGGTCTTCATGTTTTGCAGCTATTACAATGTTATGGGCCGCAGCTGCTGCACTAGTACCCGCGATGCAGAAGGGAAAAGAGACTGCAAGGAGCCTTCACATTGCTTTGAATGTTAATGTTGTTCCTTTTATCTGGCAAATCCCAACAGGTATAGACATAGTTTTCAAAGTTTTCGAGTTCACTAAATGGCCTTGATCTTGAACTATACACTTTGTAAGAATGACATCTTTTGCCTGCTACAGTGTTTATATTTCTCTGCGTAGGAGTTTGTTTCATACAACTTGCCAATTAGGCATGTAATGAATTACGTCAGAGCAGTTGTGATTCTTGTGCATCAATCTATTATATGAAACCAAGCAATTTTGCTTCATTCCTATCCTTGAAATTTAATGGAATAAATACCAGTACGCTTATTCGGTAATTGGATTCCTCTAAGGCACCTAATTGCACGATTGACATGCTTAAATGCACTGAGAAATAGCACAAGTTGATATCAAGAATTCTCTATTGCCGAACTTGTTACCGTTTGCAGTTGCAGGCCCTGTGGAAACAAAATAGAGAGTTGGCATTTAACCTGCAAATTATATGGCTATATGGGTTTTGACTTCTTTATTAATTTATTATTTATGAATTTTATGTAGTAGTACAAGTGCTTATACTGCACCACTACTACTTTTGATTAGATATCATAATTTAAACTATGGCAAAAGACTCGACTTTGAAAAGTACTGATTCCTGTAAATTTAAGTCCATGAATTCAATACCTGTGACAAAAAGATGATATGACCTCATATATTTTATGTGATTATATATTATGAGAACTACTAGAATTTAATTATGTCTATACTTTCATGTAGGCTTAGTAAATAGTACTAAGTTTCATCTTCGACAATCTAAAAAGAAGAAAAAAAATGACTGATATTCCAAGGTCCCACCACAAGAATTATTTTCCTTTCTTTGGACACAATTGGTAAAGAAAAAGACTGGTGTTTTCGACAGGAAAACTGCTGACAGTAACACTCTAATGTTGTGCATAACTCAGGTCAAACTACTATCTACATAGAGTAATATTCTTAATTTATATTAAAAAAACCAGCAGAAAAAGTGCGTTGTTAAGTAATGTCTGCAAGCAAAGTCAGAGGGAAGAAACAGAGAGCACCGGCATCAATTGCAAGAATCTTTATTAGTGGGACTTGAAGGAATCGTTGAAGAAGGTTTTGCGAAGTGAATCATTAAGAATATATGTTTAGTGCAGAGTTAAAATGGCAGCCAGCTCATTCTGGACAAATGCAGAATAGGCTATACTTGCTGCATAAGAATATTTTCGATTTCTGCAAGGAATGGAATTGAAATTGCCTTGTTGGGTGAGTAATTGAAAATGGTCCAATCTAATAAGAAGGGCTACCCATTTGATACCTACCGTAAGATTATAGAGTTATTTGCTATTGTTGGATGCCTTTCTTTCTCCCTATGTGATCCTTTTAGATTACTATATAACCACATTTCTGGTAGTCATCTGTGTGTATCCGTTCTTTCCTCATTTCTAGTTCGTTTCGTTTGTCATCTTTTTTCAACCTCTCTCAATTATGTCGAACCAACAAGCCCCAACTCGTCCATGGTTTCGTTTAGCATCCATTTCAAGGCCCACACCCCAAGCACCTACTCCAACACCTGAACCAGCTCCAGCCCTGCCGCGATCGACCACTATTCGACCTGCATTCCGACCTACAGGTGGTGCTTCCTCCGTTCCACCATCGCCTGTGTCTGTTGGTAGAGGATCTCAGCCGTCTTCCCCTTCGGATAAAAAACCTACGACTGAAGTTAGTTCCACAACTGCTTCCGTGCCTAATTCCCCGGTGCAAACGCCTCCAACCGTATCGAGGTCGCCTGCTTTTCCTCCGAAACCGGCGAAGACTTCGTCATTGCAATCTTCTCCAGCCAAGTCAGTGGCAACTACTGTCTCTGTTCCATCTTCTCCAGCGAAGCCAGTGGGAAATACTACTGCCTCGGTTCCGACTTCACCAGCCAAGACAGCCTCAACTACAACATCGCTGACTAACTTTCCGAAGACGGCCACCTTTACGACCGCTACGAATCGTGTGGCTAGCCCTCAAGCATCGGTACCTACAACGAAACCAGCCATGCAATCTCCAGTTCAATCACCAAAGATCAAACCACCAACTGCTCCACCACCATCTCCTTTAACTCTCCCTCCTCCCCAGATGAGAGCTCAAGCTGATCACGAACCGAAGATCCCTGTCGAGGCAGAGCAAAAGACCGTGCTCGTTCAAAAGATGATCGACAAGCCCAAGGGGCTTTTCAGTGCGCCTCAAAAGGATCTTGAGGACACTCGCTATCCTAGCATTCATGGACAGAAAGAGCCGTCCAAGCATGGTGAAACGAAGGAGAAAGGCAATGGCAAGAAGCTCTCTTTGCCTTCGGATTCGGAGGATTCTGGTATGAGGGTCATAACAATAGCTGGTGAGAACAAAGGTGCTTTCATGGAGCTAATCAAATCACCCCACAGAAATGGTTTCCAGAACAGTCCTCATCGTCTCCAAAAGACGGCGACCGGCAGCAGCGACGAGTACCATAGCTACAGCAGCAGCGGCGAGGAAGGTGATCGCAAAACGAAGGGCAAGAACATCGGATCAAACACCATGCCGATGAATGCATTCATGAACAGCAATGTGCAAGGCGTTAACAACTCGATCGTCTACAATTCTTCTTGCACTCACCATGACCCCGGTGTCCACCTTTCTCTCCATAGAAAACCAACCGCTGGCGGATTCCCTGTCAAGGAACGCAGCAATGGCTACAACAGCTGAAGAAAAAATAAAGAATCAACTGGATTTTAATTGCTTTGGTTTGTTTTTAATTAAATTTAAGAAAACAATACTTATGTTTTTGAGAATAAACAATAATATGAGTGGTGGCTAAAGGGCACATGGATTCGGATTCTTCAGCACCATTCGTGGTGCCTGATTGAAGACACTCCATGTCCAGGCATTTTAATAATGAGAAACCTTGAGAGTATATATGCTAAATTCCGAGTGTAATAAAAGTGGAGCATTTAAACATTGTGTTTGCATTTCACCAATTGGGGCTCATTTATTACATCCTTCAAAACTTGTCAATTTGTAGTTCAATAATATATATATATATATATAATCTATAATTTAATAATTTATATATAAAAATTGATATAAATTTGTAATTTAAAAAATATATATATATGAAATGTATTAACTACGAAGTAGGTTAACTTTTATTTTTGTAAAGTAAAAGGACTAAAGTTTAATGAATACCATTTGTGGGATTTTATAACTATGGTTGAAGTTACTTCTGCATGAGTATGTATATTATTAATTGATTAAGAATAATTCTAAATAAATACTATATTAGATTTCATGGATACATACTAAAATATTTGGAAAGATGAATTATTAGCGAAACCGACGATATGATTCATCATCAAAGGACGATATCATGTGGATTTCAAGGTTCAACAAATCATTTGAAGAAGATAATGGGCAGGGTTCTTCCATGAGGAAAGAAACTTAATCGGTAGTAGTTCGTGAACCAACCAAGTGACCAACCCACGTGCCTAACAAAATAAAATGAAAATATAAAACGAAATCGACTAAGTCCCAATAATAATTATACATTGGATACTCGAGTACTAGAGTTTGATGTTGGGCAGGATAAACTAAATTCAGAAATAGTTGGTCAAAGAGTAACCAATTCGAGTGTCGACGAAAAAACAAAGAAGATTGATCCAATAGTATATAGACTCTCCCATCGTTTTCATTTTGCTATCCTGTCCTGATTGCTGGTTGAATTATGAGTATCCCATTATCGAATAGTACTATTGTCTAATTTTATTGTGGATAGTGCTGCCCTAGAATAATATAATACATATAGAGGGTTAAAAATGAAATAAGATTTGAGGATTAGACTTAAAACGTATGTTAGATATTGTTTCTCAAGATATTCTAAAAATCACGTATCCTTATCCTTTAAGATTTAACAAGCACATTTGCACACAATAAAAATAGAAAGAATAAAAAAGCAAAAAGAGTATATGAGATCTTCGTACTTTTAAAAAAAATTAATATGATCATCGTTATTTTTTTGCACCTAATGTAATCATCGATGTTATCTTTTGACCAACGGTTTCTGTCGTTGACCGTTAAGATACTGACATGACACTTCACGGTGTTAACGTGGCAATCCACGATGACGGTGATGGTTAAATTGGTATTTTTGATCGAGTTTGAGGGTCAAATTGATTTTTTTTCCTAAAAGTTCATGAGCTTACTTATTTTTTTCAAAAAAAAAAATTAAAATTTAAAATTTAAATTTAAACTATATGAATATAGAAAAAATAAATATATGAATATAAAAATAAAAATAAAAATTGAATTACTAATTTTTTTGAACATATATATTAACTAGAGTGATTGAAAGTGTTATTGTTATATGATTCATTCAATCTAGAGACAAAATTTAGTGTGAATTTTATTTTATTTAGCAGTATAATCACATTGTTATGTTCGTACATGTCAAAATAAAAAAAAATGGCAAAAGGATATGTGAGACCCTCTCCAGGTTATATTCACTAAAATGCTCTTAATTGTATAAATATTTTTCTAATATTTTTAAATATATATTTTATGATAATTTATACATAAATTTTAAGTATATAATTTTAAATTTTTTTTATAAGACTTTATAATATTTAATTTAATAAAAAATTAATAAAATACAATTAGAAATACAATTAGAGTTAAATATATATAAAAATTTGTATATAATAGATGAGTTGTTTATATAAATAAAATTCATGTTAAATTCGAGGTAAAAAAATAATGATATACTTTTAATTTTTAGTAATTTAATTTATATTTTTATATTTATTTATATTTAATATTTTTGTATTTTAAATTAGAAATATTTTTATTTTTTTTCTAAAAAATCAAATAAGCCAATGAACTTTTAGAAAAAAAATCAATTTGGTCCTCGAGCTTGATAAAAAAAATCAATTTAATACATCTGCCATACATCAACCACGTCACCTGCCACTGTGAATTATCACGTCAGCACCTTAACGGTCAACGACGAAAACTGTTGGTTAAAACTTAAAAGGTCACATTGGGTATGTTTTTGCTAAGTTTGAGAGTCACATTGGATGCAAAAAATAACGAGAACCACATCAGTTTTTTCCGAAAAGTACAAGGGCCTAACATATCATTTTGCCAATAAAAAATTAACAGTACTCAACTTTAGGAGGATAAACGGAATGAAGGGGAAAATAAAAGAAAAAATACAATTTGAGAAGTTTTAAAAGATAAATGTTGCATGGTATTTATAATAATATGTAGGGATGGATCGAGGAGGTGATGTAGATAAAGGTAATCGTCTCTAAAAAGTTCAAAGTTTTATATATTTTAAATATTTTCTTTTTAATTTCTATTGAAAATCTATTTTTATTATCTAAAATTTTATAAGTTTATTTTCCTTAAAATTTTATTGATTTATTTTTACATAAAATCATGTGTCTATTATGATAGCATGCATGCCTAAACATGATAAAATACATCTCAATTGTTGTTTTATATTCAATTGATAAAAATATAAAATTTAAAAATTGTAAGTAAGAGTTTTAACGAGTTTAGCAATAAAAATAAAACTAAATAAGTTATGAAAAACAAAAACAAACATAATATATTGTATTAAGTGAAAAATCCATCGATGTAAATTGATTTAAACTTTAAAACCACATCCCGTTTACACACGTGAAATTATTTTCTAATTTTTTTTAAAGAAAAACCATGTTTATATTTTCATTGATCAAATTACCTTAGTGATTAAAGGAATAATTATTGTTCTTAGAGGTTTCAGGTTCGAGTACTAAATTACCTTAGTGATTAAAGGAATAATTATTGTTCTTAGAGGTTTCAGGTTCGAGTACTAGATATTACATGGTATTTATACATTGTCAAATGGTTAAGAATCTTTAAAATAAATACTATCATTTGTAAGTACCCTAAATTAATAATAAAAATGTGTTTATATTTAAATAAAAAAAATTGGATCAAAATATCTAGACACCTTACAACAAAAACACCCCCTCCCCCCAAAATGTCATTTTTGTGTTGGAATATGTTATTGTGGATCCTACAAAATGAACCAATGGTATGGAATGAATATTTGATGCACTAGATTCGGTCTAATTGTACTGGTCTTAAAAGTGGGTCTTTGAGACTTGGAGTGCATGTGCGTTAGATATGTTAATCTGTTGACAGTGTACCAATGTCTGGTCCTCGTTCATCCTTGAAGCTGTATGGCATTTGGCGACCTATAATGATAAAGCAAACGATTCTGGAGGGGCAGATGTAAAATAAAGACCATCAGAATGGAGTTTGCCATTTGATCTCTGCAATAATGAGAATTATTCACGGCCAGACTAATTCGGCCAAAATTTCTCTTTGGAATGAACTGATACAGCTGAGTATTTGAACACATGGAGTAATACTCACGTATAGGGTACATGAAACCTTACTTCTTTTGTATTTCAAAAATATACCATTTCAATTTCTATTAAATTACTTTAGCATATATATGTGGAGTGAACAATCAGTAATTATTGAACTGATTCATTGAATAAGATAATGTGTCAAAACACACCATGAAGGCCGACGATGGATCGAGGCAAGGGCAATCGCTCCTGAAAATTTAAAATTACTATGCATTTTAGATTTTTATTATATATGTTATATTGAAAATATGTTTCTCCACTGAAATTTTAGTTTGCCCCTTCGCCCCTGATATAAATCTTGTGTCCATCCCAGCTTTCATCTTGGGTCCGTCCCTGATGAAAGCTGCCCTCACGATCCCAATGGTGATGTGGGTGATTCTCTTCTGTAATGTCTTCAACGAAAACGAGGATTAACTAATTAATGATTTACTTGTTTGTAGATAATTTATTAAGATTGATAACTGATTTGTGTGGAAAAATCTATTTAAGTGTCATGTGAATAACAATCCAATGAAATAAAGTTAATCCATAACACTAAATTAATTGGTTTCTATTTTTCACACACCAATAATCAATAGTTGATTTTGTTGTTCTAAGTTCAAACAATCGAAACAGTTGATTTTGTTGTCGTGTAAATTATTGTTTTTATTACTATTTCACTCGTGTGTGTGCTCTATATGTACCCTCTGCTACAGAAGTAACAGTGGTAAGGGGTATTTAAGTTTAAAAAAAGTGTTTTAAGGTTCAGTTATTCCAATGTGGCCACCCATTTACGGTGGCCGGAGCCTTTGTTTATCTCCGTCGGTGGGGAGAGGGAAGAGTTGAGAGAAAATCAAACTTTCCTTTTTTCTGAGAAAAAAAAGAATGACAACACATGGAGGAAAATGATTGTTTTTGGCCTTTGGTTTGATCTTATACACGTGTCAAACGACGCCATTCAGGTGAAGAGTATGCGCGTTTTAGCGCTTAGGCTGATAGCAATCTTGGTCCTTTATATCTTGTAACTTTTTTATTTTAGTCATTAAATATAACTTTTAATTTTTTGATTTCAAGCTTTAAATTACGTTACGCTTACATTTTAGTCGCTATTTACTCAGTATAGTATTGTGGTTAAATATATGATCTTGGTTTACAATTCGAGATTTAGTTCATTTTAGTTTTTTTTCTGTTTGCTATGTACGATACATATTTGACTTCTGCTTTAGCCCCTTTAATTTTACTATGTATTTATTTTGGTCACTGCTTTGGTTTAATTCTCACATGAAATAATAGGGACAAATGTTTTCTTAGGCCACTATAATTTTTCATTTGCTTCTATTTGATCCTAATTTAAGCTTGTAGGTCGTCTTTTAAACTCCTTGGTTCAGTTTTTTTGTCTTGTGTGTACTGTTTTAATTTATTTGACTTTTAAATATAGTCGTATTTGTATATAAGATTAAACCAAAGGCCAAAAACTCACAACGACATACTTCAAAGAATTTTGAATTGATTAATTTCAACTAGACTCGTCATCAATCTTTAGGTTAAACATGTCGAA